TTTTTTTGATTCGGTAAGTGGCACGCAGGAAAAATAAATTAACTCGATTTCGAACGTTATCAATTATAGCGGAGGTACATACGTTAATAACGTACCAGCGCGGACATTGCCGCGCGATCTAGGTCAACCGAAATATTTTGCTAGCTGTTTCCGGTTATTGAAACACCGCGATGGTAAATCATAATTCATACGGACAACGGTTGTTTCCCGCCGAATACACGGGCTACTTCTCGGCAAGTGAACATTATTGTTCAGCGATATTTCCAGCGGCGCTATTGCCTTGACGTGCTCGTCTCCTCCGCGAACGTATCTACGTTGACGTTCTCGATCGATCCAGATTGCATTTACTCGAATTAGCGATATTAGGTCGAGTGAATTATATCTGTCCGTTTAAGTGGTTATTCCTGTCGAAAGTCTCGCTCTCTTCACTCGAGCAGCTGGCATCCCTTTTACGATCGTTAAATGGACCAAGGGACCAACGCTATTCTTTCCGTTTGCCACCGACGTAATCCAGTCATGTTTCGTAATTCATATTACTTAGAAAATGATTGTTCGTCCGGATTCACCTCTGAATGGAAAACATCAACGCGTTAAAAACAAAAAAAAACAAAAAAACACACACACAGACAGTCGCATGAATTTTGATTCTTCCCCGAAAGAGGACGTAGTGCTTTCAGAATTATGACGCGGCGTGTTTTAATTTTATTTTACAGTGTGCCAGGCACGAACACGTTCGTGAGTGAATAAGTTGATTAACTATACGTTTTTTACGAATTGCTCGATTTCATTACACGGAAATGTGATTAACTTTTAATCCGCGGGATAGGGAATGGCTTAATGAAATCCTGAAATGACATTGTAAGGTAAATTTGAAATAGAGATAATTGAGAGACAGTGTCGTAGAAATCATTCACTTCAGTTTATGAACGTTAATCAACGCGTGCTTTTAAAGTGCAATTCAGGTGTGGATATAGCAATTCAAGTTATTAAACGTTTTGTAAAGCAAAATATATAGACCACAAATTTAAATTACGTATCTGGTAAAAACACATCGATAACATTGTATTTTACCATTTACGATTGAATTGATTTCTGGACTAGTTCAAGCTTTCGTCTAACGTTACACGTTAGCTACGATGATCAAAAATAAAATCAACTTGATCGTTCGAATTTTTAAAACTACGTCTTGCCAAAAATCGAACCACGTCAAACAGTCCAGCGAGATGTGTGATATCGACGTCTAAATTATTGGTGCAAATTGAAAGAGACGCGATTGTTAGAAACGGCCGGCAGAGGGAAACGCGATTCGCAGGATCAGGGAGAGAAGAAAAGGGCGAAAGAACAGGGTCGATCAGCGAGCGATATATCGCGAAAGGTCACGGCTTTTCTTGACAAATGGCGTCCTTGCACCGCCGCCGATGGACTCGGGGCGGTATCTCAGCGGTCTGTAGGGGAGCCAAAGTACATTATGAAGGCATTTGTTGCCTTCCATTGACGTTGCTCCGGAGGAGCACGACTGTATCGACCACGGGTTCGCCGCGTAGATACGTGGAAATACACCGGCTTCGAGAGACCAGTGGAAATGCATCTTGGAATCCTGCCCGAACTTACCCTCGTTGTTTCCCTCGAGATCCCGCACGCCTTATCGGATACACCGGTTCGAATTTTATTCCCTTCCACAGCCAGCTGACCGACAATCCACGATGGCTTTGGTTGGTGATCAATAATTGAACAACATTCTGACGAAGATGGTGCCTTTTTTCGCGCCGCGTGAAAATATTCCGTGTATCAGCATCGCCAGTTCTCATCGATAAATTTGAGCAGCTGATGGTATATTTCATCGAAACCAGATGGTCCTGATACTCGCGTAACATAATGCGATGCTCGTATTCAAACTTGAAGTCCAACGTTGAGATTAGATGTCAGATTTTGAACACGAAAGTTGACGGCACACGTTTTCGTTTTATTATTCATGCAATTCCCCTTCCCTTCTTCTTCGAAAATAATCAGCTGTATTATTTTAATCGTAATTTGACTATGCTCTCGCGCGCCGTGTTACAATGTGTTACATTGTGTTATGTGAGTATAATAATATACTGCGATGTATATAGAAATCAGTAAAAATAGTTTTCAAGCGCATAATGACGAAGCTACCAACTTTACTCGTGATGATTGATGATCAGGTCAGCTATCAATAATTCCAAAGACTTTAAGAACAATTACAAGAGACACTAATCGATTTAAAAATAGATAGGAAAGTATTAACCGTAGAATAAAATTACCCCAAAAAGAAATTACCAATCTGACAATTAGTGTCACGTCTTCATTATCGAACAATACCTTACACTCGCAAAGAGAATTATTTAAAAGCAAACACAGCGCTTGCTTAAGAACTCGCGAATCGAACATCGTTTTTTCTTCTCTCTCTTTCTCTCTCTCTCTCTCTCTCTCTCTCCTGCGATAAAACATAATGGTAACTAAAACACGAGTATGTGACACAAAATCGATACGCCTTCCATTGGAATAACATCAAGATATTCCATCTGCGGAGCAAAAAGATTGGCCGGTTAATATCGAACAACAACGATGACCTAATTTCGCAAGATTAATAGGCTTATGGACAGAGTTCGACCTTTGCTCCTTTACGAGATTAAAAGCAAATAGACAAATATGGACAGATCGATCGGCCGGCTGCCTCTTCCAGCCATCCCAAATCTGCCTTTTATTTTTAAGCTCCGTAACCCTTCGTGAAATATACTCGTCGAGATTTCGCGTGGAGAAAAGAAAAAAAAGTAGATCAAAGAATAAACTGGATATTTTCAGACACGACGTAAAATGTAAAACGTTGTCGTCTGGACGATTCGTTGCTACTGTGTGACTGTAATTTGCTAATTTGCTCAGGCGTAAAAATTAATTGCCAACGGATAATTAATAGTAGCATTTGATGTCTCTCGATGGAATCGGTGAAATTATCTAGTCGAAATTATACGCTTTGAAATTGTACTTTACACTGTATGCTATTTATGCCACTGCATACATTTAACATTCAAATATCACGTGTCCGTGTTCGTACGGAAAATGTTTCTACAGATTCAGAAGAGTGAAAGGATAAAATACATCATCCCTTCTGATCAAAATCAACTCATTTTTTACAAAACGAATTCCTTTCGATCAAAACCAACTGTGAAATGTAATAATTAAATCATTGCGAACATTCATGCAAATTTACGTAGTATAAACACAGAAGTAGAAATTAATATTCAATTATTGTATCTAGATTTTTTTAACTGTCACCGTCTTTAAATTCCCCATCAATGCATAAAATTCCGACGATGTATAAACAATGTATAAAAAAAAACGGGACGTTCGTTAAATCAGAATACTCGACATTTAAATACCGCTGCCCGTATAAATGCCGAGAAGTCTTTCTATTAATTTAGAGAAACCTCCTCAATCTGCATGTCGTTTGCATTGATCCTACGACTCGCGGAGCAAGCAATGAAAGAATTTGCGAATAAAGCGAGCCTGTCAATCAGAAAGATTCATCCCGCCTGAGGAAGATGACCATCGCGAACGTCAATCCGAATCGATTATCACGACGTCCGAGACACAATTGTCCCAATATTTATGAACGAGCGTTTATCTTGTCGCTTTGCTGCGATCGCGAACGTATTCCGCGATGCAAAGTCGCATCCACGTGAAATTATACGCAAAACTTTCTGTGGATCGGTCGGTGACAAGGGAGTTTAATCTTTCGCGTGGGAACCAATCGCGTTATCGAGATATAAGCATAATCGAACTGACGGCGGTGTACACGAGGCGATAGCCTCGATATACACGAGGCAACGGATAGCACGCCGGCTATATTCGAAACTGATAATCGACGATATGCCGTGGCCGGTCGATAATCAAGGGGCTTGGCTCGAAAATGACTCGTCCGTATCTATGCAATCGCGTTGACACGACCGAATTACACTGAAATGACGGAACACGCATGCACGGTTCCATCACGCGCGAATGATGCACGATTACACATTTCAGTTTCGTGAGAAAGAGACAAAAATCAAGGGGAATCAAGACGGTAAAATGTCCTCTCTCTCTCTCTCTCTCTATCTATCTATCTATCTCACACATGCACGTTTGAAAAGAACAAAAGCACAAGATGGGCCAAAAGAAGCTCGATGCTGAAGATAACGAATGCTGAAACTGAATGAGAAAACGTCGGTCTACGTGTGTAGTTTGTACCTTGAAATCGACGACCGGATTCACTGGCTCTCTCTTTGCATCCCGACAGAGTTATCGCGCGCTCCAAACAATTCTGAGCAAAAATTTAGTTCTATTTGCTGCCGGGTACGCATTTTTCATGATCGCTTTCGTCCCTTTCGCTTTTGATAAAAGTTAGTGGACCGTGAATATGAGTAAGATGGCGTGCAACACGCAAAAAGTGATGTTTCAAAGAATTTCAAATGAGTTGAAATTTCTTTATACTTCATATTATTCGAAATTTCTTTGTTCTTGGAATACACGGCGAGGAAAATTATTTAGGGAAACTTTTACAGAGTTAAAGAAGCTAAGAAATTGAATTTCATTTTATTGGATTATCCAAAATTGCGCTTTCTTTCTAATAAATGGACATATATCTTAAAATGTAACTAACATGCGAATTCATTATACAGTCCGATACTTGATTGTTCAAGCTCTTTTCAGAAAAAAAAATACGCGATCTCGTTAACAATTGTTTGATTATTTCCATTTCAAAATTGTTGAAAGTTGAAGAGGAACATTTTCGTCGTACTGCCTGCTGTGTTACTTCCAAAAAGAAAAAACTCGGTTTGTGAGCTCGTAAAAAATTATCGGATGTGCATGGCGAAGAAGCCTTCAGACTACGATAGTGTCGGAATTGGTTTGCTAAATTTCACTACTCGTGAGAATATCAAAATTGGAATTTTTCTTACAAAGAGATACCGATTTTTTTTGGAGAAGAAGAATCTTTTTGAACGCGAAATCATCGAACGATGTAAATATATTAATAAAGTTTTTTGTTTCTCATTAAAAATTCGCCTTTCATTTGCACACGAAAAGAACGCAGTTACTTTTTGACACACAATGATATCAGAGACTAACACTAATTTCACAAAACTCCCTACAAACATGTAGTAATCTACCTCACGGATTATTTTTACGTAGCAAAGGATTATATTTCAACTTAATACTTTACATTTTTAAATATTTTGTAACGTGACGCTACAATCCCGCTTCTGTTCCAAAGTGAACAACTCGAAACTGCAGCTAACGTTTACTCGATAAATCGACCGTGAAAATTGTTTTCTCTCTTTCGTTCCTTTCTATTTTCTAAGGCTTGCTCCAAATCGTCCGAAAGACTATAAAAACCTAGCAGCTATACTTATCCCAACAGATCTGACAGCAATTCTGCAGTTTCCCCACAATGGACCAGCTAACGAGAATTCGGTTGAACGTTCTCGGTCTCCTTTCATCCTCTATTAATTTCACCGAACGTAGTCTCCGTCGGAGATCCTGATTGCAACTTTGCGAAAAACATGGGCAAGCCGCTCCCCAGTTGAAATTCAAGGATCCCCATTGGAATTGAAATCGCGGAAAGACAATAGTAGTCAAAGTGAAGACTACATCGTTCGAAGGAACTACAGCGTTAAAAATAAGGATCGATAGTTTCACTCGCGGTGAAGTGGGGCGCGGATTTATATCGAACCGTTTGAAAAACAAAGTGATTATAGCGACATGTGTTACAAAGTAGCGAACAATAAGGTGGTTTAAAATAGAAATTGAAGCTCCGAGCATGAAAATCGACTTAAAATACGCAAACACGTTGGAACACAGTCGAAGTGGCTTGATTAAACGGATCAAACTATATATGCTCATCAGTATTTCGCGATAAATCTGATAAAAACAACAAAAAACCGGGAAATTAACTTTCCACCGTTCGTTTGTTGCACATAAACACGTCAGAAACTTGTACCCACAACTGTATTGTGAATTTTGTAACTGTATGAATACAGAGAATTGTTTCAATGCTTCGAATTATATCGAGAAGTTTGTTTTAGAAGTTTCTACTATTTTTTTAATAATTATCGCGTAACTGTACGAGCAACTGTACTCTATAACGTACTGTACAAAGAGTACATACTAAGCAATAAATAAGTTATAAATAATATCTACATAAGATAATTTCCTTTTAATCTCTACTACATAATGATCATTTTCATAAAAAGATAGTAGGATCAAAGAAAGAGTAATAGAGATCTGCTTTGAAATTTTCAAAAGTATTACTCGTTGCTGAGAATACTAAAAATATTGTTCCGTTTGAAACAACTATTCTCTCACCGTTTACCGTTTAAACGAATTATTCTCACCTTTAATTAAAATTCTCCCGCTCGATCGTAAAGTGAAATCAAAACCAGAAAATCGAAAATGTCATGCGTCATTGTGTCCGTACGAAACTTATCGACACGTCGTATTTTTTCCTCGCGGTCCCGAAGGGTTTTCAATACGTTTTCAAGTTCAAAACACATCCGCCACATATTGCATCGGGGACGCGATCGATATCGAGGTAAGTTACCGGTCTTGTAATACACGTTCCGAGCTTTCGTTTGTTCGCACAGGCTCCACGGTTCCACCCTTTTTCTTTCATCTGGCGTTCCAGGCCGGCGCACCACGACCTACCCTCACTTCACGTCGGGGCCAAGTCCGACGCC